TTTTATTCAAATTTCAGCGTGTTGGGTATACATTCTAGCGCATGTGTGTTAACAGACAAAGCGGAAAATTATTTTTTCTTCTTTGTCTTTGGCGGAAATTAATAAACAAATAATATCGTCAAACAAAATTCTAACGAATACAAAATATTTTCAAACACAACCCGTGAATCCCGAGACATTTGGTGAGTATTGTGTGTTCATGTATATGTATATTACACATTTGTACAAAAACAAACAAATATTTATAGCTCATTAAAAATTCAAAAGATTAAGATATACGTTATAAATATGCTCGTGAGACAGAAAGTTAAATCGTCATTGTGTATTTCAGGAATAGGTTTAAACGATTCACCTGCTGCTTTGGCTGTATACATTGTCGAAAAATTTTTGATTGGCACTAATCAGACCAACATTAATTATGATTTTCTAAAAAATATTCTTATGACGAGTTGATCGATAATTTAATGATTTATTGGACATCGGAGAGCATAACAACAGCCATGAAAGTATATGCTGAACAGTTCACCGAACAGAAAATTGAATTCTGTGAACAAATTATAGATTCGTATGTAATCATCGTCACAAATTGTTCCTATATTTAACAGTAAAATATGAACACTAAGTGACATTTTCTTTGCAGAACACAAATAAAAGTTCCCTCTGCTTTTGCGCAATTTTGTAGCGCATTATCTAATTCTCCAACAGCATTGAAAAAACAATACACAAATCTTTTACGTACTACTTATGCAACACAAGACGTTCATTTTCCAGCATTTGAGGAACCAGCATACTTTGCCGATAACATTTGGAGTAATATTAACGATATGAAAAAATGGAATAATTGTGGTAATGAAAGCATGTAACAATATATCTAAATCTCTTAATATGATGTTTAAAATAATTATATTCTGATAAAATGACACATAAATTTAAAAAAATAGTGTAGAAACGTAATATAAAATGATTATGTATATAGATAATATTTAAACATATGTATATGAAACGGTATAATTAAACATTTAATGTACAATTATATATAATTATATGCATGTATATTATTTATATATATAAATGTTTACATATGTATGTATATATGTATATGTATATATGTATATGTATATACATGTGTATGTATATATGTATATGTATATATGTATATGTATATGTATATACATATATATACATGTAATGTAACTTATATATTACACAAATATGTATCTAATTTTCATATGTAATACATATATATATATTATATATTTTATATATATTTTATATATATATGTATTACATGTACAAAAGCTTTTAATTATTATTACAGTACAAAGAAAAAGAATACTGCATATTTTTTATAACATTTTGCTTCATTTTGCTTTTATTTTTTATATTTTATATTACGTTATACATTGTGTATTATTTTATTTTATTTATTAATTTTATATTATTTTATCGTAATATGGTAATATTGTAATATTTGTATATAATAATAAAGATTTTTTTAAAATATCGCAATAGAAGTAAAATTTATTTATCATAGATTTATCATATTGTTTCAAATATATATAAAATTAAGAACATCATTAAGAAATATAATATTCTTATTAAATATGTAGCTATAATAATAGGTTATTATTTTCTCGTTTAGAACGTAATATATTTTATTTAAGTATAAATTAAAACTAAGCAAAGATATAACAAGATAATTTTTGTAAAGTAAAAATTTATATAAATAAAAAGAATTAAATTTAATCGAAGCGAGATTGCATTTTTATTATCATCGCATTCATCTTTTTATATGCAAACACAGAATTTAAAAACTATATAAACATGGTTTACATTCAATGAAGACATCGGATAAACATAATTAAATATTAATAATATTCTTGTATTAAAAAATAATTTCAAATAAACATATAATAATATATATAAATCACATTTATTTTTAAAACTCATGACTCATCAAGTATAATAATAAATTACAATAGTAGTAAACAACAAAAAAAAAATAGGTAAAAAAAGACTTTAGAGACGCACTCTTTGAGAAATAATCTCTTAATATTCTTGAAGTACAAGGAACGGTTGAAAAAGATTCAAAACTGCATTACGGATAACGATGGATGGAAAAACAATTTGTATATAAAAAAAGATAAGAACTTTGAACAACTAACTTATCTACCGATGTCAGAGACATAATATCTGAAGAGATAATTGAAGTAAATAAGTTATATTGGAGTACATAAGAAGACTCCCCCTTCCATCTGCCGACAACGACTGGCCTGTTGTAACGCCTAGCGTTAGTCGTACGTTCTACGTCGCACGAGACGGATGCACAATGTGGAAGACGACGACTGTGATCTTCCTTTTTGCCTGTGGCATAGCTATTTTACTTCGGTAAGTCAGACATTGCGGAGTGCGCACTTTGTCAAAAATTCTACAGAGAAAAGACTGTTGCAACCAGTAATTCTGTGAATTTTGCTTTATCTCTCTTTAATCTCGGAATTATAAATAAGTGACGGTTAAAATAACTCGATCGAGAGAGACTTAATGGCATTCTAATTCATGCGCAGTACTGGTCCCATAGACGTACCGGACTTACCTGAGACATTCTGGGGGCCGGAAAAAAATAAGGGAGCCTCCAAAGAAGTACGACCCTACGTTATTAAAGTAACGAAGTCGGTAAGTTGCAGGAGGAAAAAAATTTTGTTTGCTTAATGAGCTATAAGTTGTACGTTTTCAAGGCTGCAGTCTGCACATTCATCGATTCGTTATATAAGGCATCGTAAACAAAAAGTTATCTGAATCGTTTAATAAAAACTATTTTTATAGTTGGTTGCATAATAGATATTTATGACGGTTTATTTTGTCTATTTACTGTAGCAAATAATATAGTATCGCGTTTTCTATCTCGTATAATCGCGATACTATATTATTTGCTACAGTGTTATCATGTTATCAAATGATACAGGAAATCATTTTTCATTCTTTTTATTGTCAGAAATATGTCTACGAATTACATCATCAACCTATTACATGATTGAACATGGCTAAAGGAGAAACACTTATCATCAATCATCACAGATAACAAAATCTGACTGAAGTATTAGATTTTGCATAAATGACTTGCATAAATATATTCGCGTGTTTGAAAAACAATAAATAATTGAATAATTCTGATATATGAAAGAAGATAAAAAATATAAAAGTTGTCAAAGTTTAAAATAAATTTGTACGTCAATATTTTAATTATATCTTTATGTTATTTTTAGTTGTATGTTAAATAATTAAAATTTTCTAGAAGAATTTATTGCCTCTGTATATTAAATATCTTAGAATAAAACTCTAAAATATTCTAATGTTAAAATTAAAAAAAAAAATAAAAATACAGCAAAGTAAATTATTCAAAAGGGAAGAAGAAGAATTTGATTTTATTAATAATTTGAAAGAAAATGAATCGTTAATGAACTTTTACATAAAAACTGAAAGAAAGCGTAACGATTTTTATCTAAAATACAATTTTTTGTGTGTAAGATAATCGACGACCTAAAAGAACGGCTCACCAAGAGACGAGAATTCGTGGCACCATTGGAGGATACTGCATGGACTTATGGCATTAGTACAACGTACTTGAAAGATGTTCTTGATTACTGGGCCACAAAGTATAATTGGACTGAACGGGAAGCACTGCTCAACAAGTATCCCCAATACATGACTAATATACAAGGTAATAAATCTTTTTGTTGTCGTTCAGTCATTTAAAAGTGTATTACGTGAATGTTTTGTGATACTTTGGAAGATTTGTTCCAGAAACAAATACCGGTACCACGACCGGTTAAGTGGTTTTATTTTTCTCTTTTCTTGATTTTTATTGTTTTCCTTCTGTCATTAGCGAGAAATAATAAATGTCGGCCCAGATAAACTTACGGCCTAACTCCTAAAGGTTCCGTTAGAATATTTTCCCGAAACGAAAGCCGGTTTTGTAAGGCGTTAAAAACTCTTCAGCTGAATCAGACAAAACATAATTTCATTATTTTTGTTACAAATAATGATCGATTGATTCCGTATAAAGATAATCGAGTGTTATTGAAAATATATGTATGCTAATAATAAAATGTTATTTTTAAAGCTAATTAACAAATCAAAGTTAATGTTTACAGGTCTGGACATACATTTTTATCGCGTGAAACCTTACATTCCATCAGAACGGAAAAATATAAAGATTCTTCCATTGTTGATGTTACACGGTTGGCCAGGATCTGTAGTAGAATTCCAAAAAATTATTCCCATGTTAACAACACCGCGTCCGGACAAAGACTTCGTGTTTGAGGTGATCGCACCTTCGCTTCCGGGATATGGATTCTCGCAAGCAGCTGTACGACCAGGATTGGCCACACCACAAGTAAACTTGATAAAAAATATCTAATAATTTTGTTAAATAACGTAATGTTAATGCCAACCCAAAATAGTACAAAAAAAAGAAACAAAAAAATAAAACAAATATTCATAAATATTCATTCTTACGACATATTAATTTTGTATTTCTTATTTTCAGATGGCTCTTATATTCAAAAATCTTATGTTACGTCTCGGTTTTAACAAGTTTTTACACGCAGGGCGGAGACTGGGGCGCCGCTATTGTCTCGCATTTGTCTAGTCTCTTCCCGGACAAGTATGTGACTAATAATGCTTGCACAACAATTCAAACTCAATATAAATGTATAAGAGAACAAAGTCTAAAAATCGTGTTTGTTTTTCAGTATTCTTGGTACTCATAGTAACATGTGTATGACTAGCATGACCAAATCCAATATATTTTGGACATTCCTCGGTTCATATATCCCATCGCTTGTAGTCGAGAGCGAATATTCTAATAGAATGTACCCTTTGGGAGAACATTATAGTCGACTTCTCGAGGAAACTGGATATATGCATATACAGGCTAGCAAGCCGGACACTATAGGTACTTGATTCTATAGAGAAACTTTTTATAGAAAAAGTTTTTAATAGATATGTCTCTAATTTTTTATTAGAGACTTAAATCATTAGAGATATCAGATTTAATTTTTTATTACGGCAAAGTCACAATATCAGGAAACTATTATTGTCTTTTTAAAGTTTTTTTGTTTAGATTATATAAATGTTAATATTATTTCCATGTAGTATTGAAATTTAAGATAAATTTATTGAAGAATTAAAATAATAGGAAATTATTTTTAAAGGCACTACTGTAGCGGCCTCGCCAGTGGGATTAGCAGCATATATTTTAGAAAAGTTTAGTACATGGACGAATCCAGAATACAAATTTCGACCTGATGGCGGTCTCCTTGAGAAATACACTCTGGACGAACTTTTAGATAATCTTATGTTATACTGGGTTACCAATTCGTTAACTACGAGTGTACGACTTTATGCTGAGCAGTTTACGAAGGCTCATATGGCGAGCAGGATTGACGAGTACAGTTTTTCTTTTAATTGCAATTCTATTTTCATAATAATTTTCGGCAAAAAAGCAATTTTATTTCCTGTTTTATTTCCGATAACATGCATTCAATTTTTAGATTACCCGTTGAGGTGCCGGTAGGGTGTGCGGCATTTCCTCATGAACTGGCTTATCAACCACAGAGCCTCCTTCGTGAGAGATACACTAATATGATACAATATAATCACTTACCACGCGGAGGTCATTTCGCTGCATTTGAAGAACCGGCTCTCTTAGCGGACGACATTTTCACGTTTGTAGCCACAGTTGAAGAAAACAGGAAGAAAATTAATAATAAAGATATGCCGAACGAGAAGAAAATAAAAGAACCTACGAAAATTTGAAAAAAAAAAATGTTAATCTATTATTGTTAATTAAGAGCTCGATATGCAGAGCAACAAACACAGGCGTTGATCGCTCATAAAAACGTTGTTATAAACTTTTTTCATTTTTGTATAATATGGAAATTTTTTGAATAAATGGGTATTTTTCTAATATTTTGTTTTCTCTGATCTTTTCTCTACAACTATAACTTCTATCTTTAGAATTATTAATCGCTTCAAAAATTTCTAAAACACATAATTCTTTTCTTTAATCATATTGATAATATCTTTCTCATTTTTTTCGACTTTAAAAGTATATTTTAATTGAATAAAAACTTTTATCTTTGTATATTTAATATATTTAATATATATAATACATAAAATAGTATGTATTTTATTGTCGCATTGTCTTTTTGTTCTATGGTAAGTGGTGTTGACGATTCCAACCTGCTGGCTGAATGATGATTACGCAAATGTATATGCGATTAAATACTTTATCAATATCCGTTCTGACATTTCTATATCTGGCGTGACGCAAAACAATGATAATAGAAGATAAATATGCATGATAAAAAAAACTTATAATTTAATCTTATTTACCTTCACGCCGATATTTCACAGAAATAATAGAAAATATTGAATCTTTTATAAAAATTAAATCTTTTGAAAAGAGTAATCCTCTTTAAACATCCGTTTCTTCGTATCGTGACTCTTGGAAATTGAGGCTTTCCGATCCATTCACAGGCAACCGGACGCCTCTCGGTAGGCGGCAAGCAACAAAGGACCCCATAAGAACTTTATAGAAGGGACTGCGACAGACCCTCTCGGAGCCCCAACGTGATGGCTGATACGAAAACGTGTGTGACGAAAATGAATTGTGCATTAGGTATGTTATGTGATGTTCGTAGGGATCTGGCCTACGATCTGGTTTACTTTTCAATATTATAGATTGGGACGATATGTCTTATACCGAGCCAAATATATTCCAAATATGTTAAATTTACGCTGAATTTTTACGTTGCCATACATCGTTGATATAAAAAAACATAACATAACGTAAACATAAAAAATATTCTTGCATGTGCTTATAATCGAATAATCGAATAAATAAATAAATATAATAATTTTAATATCAAAATAAATATTTATAATTTATAATATTATTTAATTATTTACTTTATTTATTTAATAAATATTATGAATAAATATTGTAATAATTATAATAAATATTAAAATTAATTAATTGATTTTCTATCATTTTCTAAATCAGAAGAAAGTAAACAATTTCAACTAATAGGATGGTCATAGAAATGATTCATCGATATAAAGGTGATGAAAGCATTAAAATTTCCTGAAATTCCACATTTTCTAAGCGATACCTGCAATCCCAAAAATTGAAATAGACGTTTCTTTCGAAAAATTTGAAACGTGTTTCATCAGTGGCTCTGAAAACTATCTGGCCGTTGTTAGTCTATCGATAACACACAGCAAACATATGGAAAAAAAAAAAGAAGGGAGCAGAAAGGGAGGGTGTTGTTTATAGATAGTTTTAGAAGGGACTCCGGGCGACCAAGGCATAAGGCACAGACCGTCGACAAAAGTCGTCAGTTGTTCGCAGATTGTCGATGTGCGATGATTGTGGCGAGGACTTAGTCGTGCGCGGCAAAAGTCTTCTTTGGTCTCTCTGGTCGCGTAGCGGTTTACTGTTGGTCAGCAACGTTGATTATTACGTAATCGTAAATCGTAGTCGACGGCGTCGTAGAGGCGTCGATATCACCGATATCACTGTGCGAGCGGAGATTTTTTTTTTCCCCCCCCGATCGAAATCGTCCTCGATCGCATTGACGGAGTGGCGTTACGGTGTCCTTCGCGGGGTATCGTGCGGTTTCTTTGTCAGCGAGGAGCACTCGGCTTACCGCGTGTGGGCCGTGCGCGGCGACAAATTCCAGCCGGCAGCGTGGGACGAAGATCAGCTTGAAACAAGAGGGAATCGCGTCGACCACGTGACGGCACAAAGTGCAAGACGCCGGCGCGGTGTAATCATTTTGTTCCGGTGATATGACAGGCGGGAGGATGGGAGCAGAAGGAGACCCGACGACTATGATCGTCTACGCGGATATTTACACGCAGGAAACCCCAGGCACGTCCAAGCACGAGCTCAGGTGAGTGCGCGATGTACGCGCGTGCGTTTCGCGGGTGAAACGGATGTGCGTGTGTATGCGCGTGTATCAAGCGTGCGTGATGTTACGCGTTCGTTACGTCGCGAGGTTACGTCGTGTGCTGCTGCTTCCCTGGTACACATTGCTCGAATCGTCCCATTATAGTCCGCGCTGTCATTTGTCAAGGAAACGCGACAAATGAATTGGCCGATGAAGGACATAAATATCAAGAATTAACCCTCTAATGAACCGAGGTGTAAGAAAGAAAACAATCAACTGTACGATGTTTCTTTTATCGCGCACATGTCTCGTTAATGACAGACTGAAGACAAAGCCGATCAGAAATGTATCGTTGATTAATCCTGTTCGTATTTTTCGTCAGATCGACGATTCTCGCAAATTAAAATATAATAAAGAATAAGATAAAAGAAGGGGAAGAATAATTTGAGATCCGCGTGAATATGGTTGAAATAAAAATTAGAATAAAAATAAATAAAAAAAAAGAAAAAAAAACGTTTTTTTTTACCAAGTCGCTCTTTTCAGTGAATAGAATGTATGAATTTTAGCGAGCGTCCGCGAGACACAAACTTCACCTCGATTCT